GTTCCATGCACAAGAGGCATGCATCATTTCCAGGCAGCTCCAGGCAGCTTTAGCGTCAGCTCGGTGGCAGCCAGCCACTCACGCAGCTTGGGTCTGACTTCAAGACTGGACTGGACACGTCTGCGCAGAGTGAGGTTGCGTTAAGACAGGCCAGGGCGGGATGCGAGCCTGGCAGTGGGGGGGAGAATGCGCACATCCCTTGCGTGCCAGGAGACTCTCGTGAGCCGCCGGTTCATGTACTCTGCAGCAGGCCGTCTGTAAGCAAGAACGTGCAATGAATCGCTGAAGGGCGCCTGGCCCAAACAGAGATCGTGTCGCCACGCTATGAAGAGGTTCACATAAACGCGCCGCTGGCATGACGACAACCAGACCGCGTGCGATCTGCCTAGGTAAGAGATGAGTAGAGCGGTCCCAGGCTCGACGTGTGTCATCCAAGAGCCGCAATCCAACGCCACACCATATGATATGCTAGTCGTGAAGCCACCACCGCAAGCGTCGACAAGAGGGAAACGGAGGCCAGGCTGTGTCGCATCTGCTTGTGGTGACCGAGCCTCAAGGCTGTTTGACGACGAGTCCGCCGAGTTCATAGCCACACGCCCCTCCCAGCACGACCATCGACTGTGTGCTACCGGGCCAGTGTAGCTTGAGGCCTAGGGCGGGCGCCAGTTGGTTCGCCGTGGTACCTCGACCGCCTCCCTCGCCGTGTGCTCCAGGCGGTTTGCGAGCTCGACTCGACTCCTCGTGGCGGTTCACCCCCTCCTCTTGGCTGCCCCCCCAATTTGGTGTGACTTGGGCCCCTAGCCCGGCTGGCCGACCTCAGGCTCAATGGCCAACGGACCCTGGATGCACATATAAACGGCCGGCCGTTCCCTCCGAGCCTCGCTGGCATCGCCAATCGACCCCTCCACGCAAGCCCGCCAAAACCAGACGCACCATTGTCGCGTGCGAAACAGCGCATCGCAGCCACCCCCATTTCCTGATTCGGCCCACGGTGAGCCCTCAGTCACCGAACGCCGCCTGTGGCATTTTTGAGCCGTGTCGCGCCTGGTGTAGCATCTCATTAGCTGTCGACATCTGACTGTATCCCGCCTCTCCTGACTTTTCCTTGCTCGTCTGTCTCTCTCTCTCTCTCAATGCCTCTTGGCTGAGCATTGTCGGAACTTTGCTTTACCTGACTGAGCAAGTTGGGCGCATCTCATCGCATAGAGGAGATAAAGCGCGTCAAGCAAGACGTCCCGAGCTGAGCTCCCTAGCCGCTTGCGCCTTCCGCTCAAGCAGGAAGGGAGAACACAAGACCCGGCAGAGTGTCATAGAGACAGGAGGGGAAGAGACGAGGAGAGAAGGGGCACTGGGAACAAAAGGCGACCCGGACTCAGACCATCGACTGAGTGAGAAGTGGCTCTCTTTCCTCCCTCAATAGCTAGTCCTCTAGCTTTGAATAAAAGATCCTTTCTCGCACAGATAGCCTGGTCTCGTCCGATTCTTACCTTACGTCAACATCGCCTCCTGTCTGTCAGCCACTTGTCCGACTGTCCGTCCCTGGTCCGCCTTGGTATCATCAAATGAAGGCATGCCTCTTCCAGGCGACACAACAAGGGCCAAACGAGAAAAAGAGAAAGGAAAGACGAAAGTCTCAAAGAAACGAGCTACCTTGCTCATGCATCAGTCGGGCGTCAGCTCAACTCAACACCGGCTGTGAAAGAGCACAAATCGCCATCAGTATCAGCTCCCGCGACCAGACATTGTCTCGACGTCGGAGGATTGGCTGGTTGGCGTCGAATCGCAACTGCAAGTCGGCTGCCATCACGCACTAGCGCATCCCAGGAGCGTCATCGTTGAAGAAAAAAAAAAGCTCTGCAAGGGGAGAACGGACTTGGAGAAGGAAAAAGGAAAAGAAGACGACGAGGTTCCCTGTCGGAGAAGAACCTGCGGCCCAACTGCACCCCCATTGTCAGGCGGCTGATTTGCGGCCAAGTGCCCTGAGCAGGCCAGGTTGGTGCACTAAAGCAGCGCTAGACACCCGCTGGAAGAAACCTGGAAAGAAAATTGAAACAATGGCCGAGGATTCGCCTTACGCGCCACGGTCGCCGGACCTGTCGTCGTTTTTGTCGGGCAGCCCCACCCAGGCCGAGCACCTCCAACACGGCCAGGCTGGATATAAAGTACAGCCTCCCGCCAACGCCGTTCCGAGCACCGCTTCCTCTCTCTATATCCCTCCTCCCTACGGCGCGCATCGCCAGCAACCCCCCACGCCCACCAGCCAGCCCGTCTACGAGCAGTACTTCCCGCCCGTACTGCGACAGCCCGCGCACAGCTTCGACGCTCAAAACGCCGCACCTCCCGCGCCGTACCGGCTTGAGCAGCGGGTCTTCAGGCAGCCCCCGCGACCGTCCTCTCGATACGAGCCGTACCACCACGACCCCAACCACGCACCCGGCCAGCCGTCGACGTCGTCTGCAGACATGCCGCCGCGAAAGGTCGTGGTGCCTCCCCCTCCTGCGCCAGCCGTCGAGCCGTCGCCCGTCAGGACCAAATTCCCCACGGCCCGCATCAAGCGCATCATGCAGGCCGACGAGGAAGTCGGCAAGGTCGCCCAACAAACGCCCATTGCCGTTGGCAAGGCTCTGGAGCTCTTTATGATCCAGTTAGTCACAAAGAGCGCAGATGTTGCCAAGGACAAAGGCTCCAAACGAGTGACGGCGTCCATGCTTAAGCAGGTGGTGGAGGCTGATGAGCAGTGGGATTTCCTGCGGGACATTGTGGGCCGGGTCGAGAATGAGAAGGAGGGCAGCAAGGCCAAGGCCAAGGACAGCGAAACGGACGAGGAGATGGAGGAGCCCAAGAAGCGCGGCAGAGGTGGTCGTCGGAAGAAGGTGCAATGACCTCACACAAGCATGACGACGAGTACGAAGATCGGAATGACTGGCGTTTACTGGCTACAAAAACATACCATATCGTTATATCCTACAACGGCGTTGGGCGGCGGGCACATTGGCGGCAGCGGACATCTAGACGGCCATGTAGCTGCGAGGCGGTCTCTCCCTCTGGGTGGCCACGGCAAGCTACGGGAGGTGCCTCGGTTCTGTAACATTTCACTATTTCCTCTGTTTCAATAGGTACCTACTTTTGTTTCCCCCTCTTTTCCGCTACAGAGCACTGTTTGCTGTATCTCTTCAATAGCTTGATACCAGACAGCTCGTATTCTCGCTGTATTTATACGATGAAGAAAAGGGATGTCACGCAGCTCAAACAGTTGCAGCAATTTGTCGTGCCCAGCTTGAACCGAGCATCATTAGATTTGCCTCTCTTCTAGTTCTACACAGCTACAACCTGCCCCTTTGTTTGATCGAGATTGCGGGCACAATGACATGTGACGGGTGTTGCCGCCATGTTTCACGAGGGAGGGGAGCGACGGCAATACGGAGCTGTCAACTGTCCGCTATTGCACACCAGCTTCTGTAGCAATACAATGTCTCGATTTCTTTCAGTATACTATCACCCACCGTCGCCGAATGAGGAATTCGGTTTGCTTAATCGTAGGTATTCTCACAAAGTAGCAAATAGTAGAGGTCAGAAATCCCGTGCGACGTACGAAATGCCGCCATTTATGCACGTGTGCGTGCCTTTGGCGGTGCGTCGGGCACAGTTACATGTATCTGTCCCTGTTGGCAGGGCTCTTGATGGGGGATGAGCTGCATTGCATACATACAAGTAGGATGGTGGTGAGCTGTATGATGTGCTAAGGGTACGAATTCCAGGCTGGCTACGAGTGACGATTGATTCTTTCAGGGGATCCCACAGGTTGGGAACCCTTTTTGCTGGCGCTGCTGGCCAACTAATCCGCCGTCTGCGTTGGAGTGGCGTGCAGGAGAGTCAGGTAGGTACTATGGGGTTTGTGTGGGCGAAAGGAGCGGGTATCATTAACACATGCAGCTTCAAGTTTGTACGACGACTCGAGCAAAGCGCCCTGCGCAAACACGTTTCAGCGGCAGCAAAGGCACGGCGAATTGCAGCGGCGACATGCCTCCTGTATAATCTTTGTTTGTAATTGATTGGTATACCTGTTTGCGCTCTGTCATCGGGTACGGATTGGAGACGAGAGAGGCCGCCGGGCCAGGAGTCCGGATGGACAAGATGCTCGCTCCGGGCCCCGGTGATTCCATTGATGCTTCAATTGCTCATTTGCCGCATTGCGAGGGACTCGACTGTCTGTCTCAATCACGACAGATCGTCTGCCAGGGAGGCATCGTATATCGTTCCTGTTGATACGGGCGAATTACCGAGGGGGCCGGGAACCAGGCACCAGGCAGCGGATACTGGTGCTGAATCCCGCTTGACTCGACGTGAATCCGCAGCACCTGTGCCTGAGCAAGTACACAAGTAGCCTACCGTACACAAGCCCTTAGCAGTGGACATTATCGTGTTTCTGCCGCCGTACGACCTACCATGTCGGGCTAAAAGCCGTCATACGGGCCACCAAACCATGTGCCCGTCTAGGAATGCGACTGAAACCGTGTCGCCAGTCTACTTGGTCGAGACCCCTAACGAGGTACTCGGAGGTACGAGTACTCTGCAGCGAGCACTCACGACCGCGCTACCGGTAAGTGCGTTAGCCGCCAGAAACGTCAGGCACTAAGGCGGTACAAGAGGCCAGGTCACTCGCCGACTGAGGTCCTCCAATTGTGTTGCACCAAGTACTTCGCTGTACGTGCCGCCAATATTTTGATTTCCACTCCCATCAAACCCCATCTCCGCCTCGTCCGTCGCCTCTGCGTCTGCCTCTCCTCTCCGCCGCTCTCGACTCTCATTTTCCCTCCAGCGACTCGCAGCGTCCGTCCGTTCCTTTTCATCGCTGCCTGTCGCTTTACTTGCATGCGCTGCCCCGACGACTAGACGAGAGAAGCCGGCTTCCGTCTGCAGTCCAGTCCCCCGCTTCGAGAGCCATGAGAGACCGGCTGCATCCTGCAACGCCCTCCGCCCTCATCTAGATGAGGCACCGCCCTTCGCAACCGCCAATTCCGCCTGTCTGATCCCTCCAGTGTCTGCTCGCAGCTTCGCGTGAACCAATGTCGTGGGACCTGCTGCAGCGATTCCTCGAATCCGACGTCTTCAATGCGAATCCCTTCCTCTCCGTCTCCTACCTCTCGTGAGTTTCGCAAACCACCTGGCATCTTCCACCCCCCCAGCCTTGCCTGGGAGCAATGGAGCTTTGGCAGAGCTCTGAACAGCTTCAGCTTCAGCTTCAGCTTCAGCAGCCGCCAGGACAATTCATGCGTATAGAGCTAACGGGCGTCTCTTTCAATGCAACTGTAGTCGCTATGCCGACCATGTAGGCATCCACTATGTCCTCTGCAACAAGCTGCGACAATTCCCGTACGAGGACATCGAGTTCTTCTTGCCGCAGCTATGCCACCTCATCATCAGCGTCGACAATGAGTCAATGGCTCTGGAGGAGTTTCTGCTGGATCTATGCGAGGAGTCTGTGACTGCCGCATTGTTGGTACGTAGCCGTAGCCAACAGGTCGCGAAAGCATGACGCTCGAAACGAGAACGAGGCGAGACCTGTTTCGCCGCCCACCGAGATGCTGACCTGGTTGTTTTGCAGACGTTTTGGCTCTTCCAGACATATCTGCACGACCTGTCCTCGAACCCGCAGTCAAATGCCTTCCAGACGTGTCGCCGAGTCTACAACAAGGTGCAGCACATTGTCTTTGGGCTGGCAGACACTGCGCGCCAAAACAAGATCAAAGAAAATGTCCTGCCCGTTGCTGTGCTTTCCAGCTTTGTCCTTGCGAGCGTCGCCTTGCCAATGATACCCAGATGGGCTGGCCCTCTTGCTGTCGCACAGGCTCGCAAGCCTCAGCCCATCACTGAGGATGCTTCAGACGGAAGTGAGACGCCAAAGCCTACCCCAGCCACTGCCCCGTCAAAGCCCGCGAGGGCAAACACCATCGCCAGTCCGATCTCGAAGCCCCGGCGCGCCAAGGAGCCAAAATCCCCGAGCGCATCCGATCCCAGTCTGGTCGACGCTCGTCCCACGATGCGACGAGGAGGCTCTCAAGTTCCCATCTCCCACTCGCCGTTGAATCCGGCCTTCACCCCGGACTCGAAGAGACCGTCGGCCCTGGATATGAAATCCCTGGAGGCGAGGCTCAGCACCGCTTCTCTGCCTCTGCCGTCGCCGAGAGGCCCATCGCGGCCAGCAACTCCCGTGTCCGCAGGAGTCAATGCAAGGCCTTCGGATGGCATCCATCGACGGCATTCTCACCATTTCAAGTCGCACTTGAGCCCGACGAACCTCACAACAGCGCAAAAGGCACAGCTTCTGAGACAGCACTATTTCAGATCGCAAACCCAATTCTTGTCTGCTTTGGAAGGCATCTCTAACCGGCTCGTTGCCGTCCCGAAACCCGCCCGCATGAGCGCTCTGCGAGCCGAGCTGGCCTTGATTGGCAGAGATTTGCCTGCCGAAATCGACATTCCCATCATCTGCCCGCCGACGCTGATCGACGGTGCGCCGGGCAAGAGTCGCCATCACCGAATCGTGCGACTGAACCCTGCCGAGGCCACGGTGTTGAACAGCGCCGAGAAGGTGCCGTATCTGCTAATGATCGAGGTGCTGAGAGACGACTTTACGTTTGACCCTGAGAGCCCGGACAACCAGCGGCTGTTGACAACTCTCCTCGGTGGCAGCGGGCCCACCAAAAGACTGTTTGACCTCTCTTCGGAGATTCCCAGGGCTGCCCAGGTCGTTCCGCCTCCTGAGCCCATCATCGACAGCGTATTCGAGCCAACCTCGGGTGATTTGGGCAGCTCGCCGCTGCTCAAGCCCTTTGACGACGAGCCCCCGTCCGTTAGCTATCACTCGAAGCACTCTACCGACCAGCGATTCTCTAGCGGAGCTACGACTGCGTCTACGACTCTGGATGCCATGACACCGCGCACGTCCGGGCCCTACTCTTCTCGATCGCCCAGTCCTGGCTCTCGACGGCGGATGACGCTCAACATGGCTCGCGCCGACCAGCCTGATTTCTCTGCGCTGGCCACGCACATGAGGACAGCCTCTCAAATGCTCGCCCAGCTCGAGGCCACGAGCGGCAAGCGGCCCAAGCACGAGGTGGCTGCGATTCGAGCCAAGATCATTGCGAGCATGCAGAGCCTCGAAGAGCAGAGCTTCGACGCAGACGAGGGCGGCCCCACGTTCGACACCATCATGGCCAAGGCCAGCGCGGCCAGCGCGATACAGGGCGTCGACCCGGATCTGGACGAGGAAGAGGCCCCGGTGGACCCCAACATCAACGCCAGCGCGGGCAGGGAGAGGATGGAAAACGACATCAAGACGGGAGGCGTCCAGCGCCGTGGTGATCGCGACGACCCTAGTGCGGCTGTCTTTGGAGAAGCCTGGGAGGCCAAGAAGGAGCGGATCCGCAAGTCGTCGCCCTACGGCTGGATGAAGAACTGGGATCTAGCCCGCTCAACTCCGGAGGGTCCTGTAGCTGCATGAGCACGCACTCGAACTTACCGCGCCGGAGCTTAGGTTGTCTCGGCCCGCTCAACCTGTCGTACTTCGGTTTCAGCTACACCTATTACACAGGGAGCGACAGCTACTCGTGCAACGGCAACACGGACAGGAACTCGACCTCCTACATCCTTTACTACGATATCCGCCGATCACTCGCGAACTTCCGCAGCTCCGGCCGAAACATCCCGAACGACAGGCCGACCGGCTTACGGAACTACTTCACCAGGAACTCGCACCGCTAAGCTACGGCCCCTAAGCAAGGCCGGAGCTACCTACGCTCCCACTCTGACGCGAACTCGCTCACCTCCCTCTGCGGCAACCGATAGCAAAGCTATTCCGGTCTGCTGAGGGGCCACTGCTCCTACGCGTAGTCGAACTGGGTCTGCAGGTGGAAACGAAGGTGGGTCTAGAACACCGTTTGCGATTACTCGACCGTGCGTTTCCGGAGGACAGCATCCAGGCGCGGACAGAAGTGTTACTGCGACTGC